TTTCTTTTCTGTCCATTTCCTTTGCCCGGTTTTCTATTGTATTTTTCTTTGATGTGTAATTCTTCACATGTTGTATGTATAAATATTTTGGCTTTTAACCTTGTTTATAATGTGGCTTAGTCATCAGAATCATAGGACTTGAGCTAGAGGTGGAATAGGTCTTAAATTTATCTATACCTTTCCATCTTAAGACAAACAAGTGATTGGAAGGACTCGTTCTGCATCAACCTTGGATGGCTTAATAAGCATGACAGGGTGGGACAGCAGTACCACCTAAGAGGTTAAATAGTGCAGATTCCATAGTCCAGACTGCGGGGGTGGGGATGATGACAGCATTATGCACACTCTTGGGCTAAGCCTCTTTTGTAAAGTGGGAATGGTTTGTCATCTTTGTTTTAAGGATTAAAAAACTGTTGCATATGCCTGATACATGAGTGCTCCATAAATATTAGCTGTTCCATCATTGATAGAGCCGAGTCTGGAAGTAAGTTTTATGGGTTTCCAGTGTAGATTGCTTTGCGTTTTTACTGGATTTTGCTTTCACCATCACCACCACCACCACCGACAAAAAAAACATGTTCTGCCAAGCAGTTCAGCCATTTTGTAAGTTTAGGAAAATAAACTATCCAAGTGCTGAAATGGCAGCTCTTGGGCAGAGATCCCACAGGCTTGCTCTTTTAAGGAAGTGATGCTGTGCTGCCCTCTTGTGGCCATTTAGGAAGTAACGATTAAGAAGTTAAAAATGGAACACAATAGCTATTAATGCAGCTTGCTTTCAAAGTCCAATTGTAAGAAATACGTTATCACTTAATTTTGCCAGCTTCAGAAAGGATTTTGAAGAGATACCGAATCCTTTTTATCCACAAGTGAAAACAAACGTTAAACTTTTTTCATAAGCATTTTTTTTTCTGTTAGAATCTAAAAGCCCAATACTGACTTGAATCCCTTTCATTTATTTTTGCATCGTTTTTCCCTTGTATTGATTGTTCAAAGATTATAAAACGTGTCCAACTTAGTTTTGAGATACTTATTTCAGATTTTATTTTCAGATACTTATTTTTTGTGAGAATTCTATATTGATGGTGGATAATCCTGAAATTATAATTTTTAATTGTATTAAAACTATTAATGCCGTTGGAAGTCAGGTAATTTTCATTGTTTAGGTGAAAGTTTAGTCAAAGGATTCCTCATCCACTAATTCAATTTGATCCGTTTTTTGTCAGTCTTGTAGACTTTCCACATCTACTCCAAGTCAGCATCACAAACTACAAATTTAGCATTCATAGTGTTTAGTATTATAACTAGGCATTAATAGCAAATCTACATAATATTTCAAGAAACATCTCGTCCTATGAGGGAAAAATTAGACTGTCATTGCCATAAATGTGGAAGTATTTAGTTTTTTGTTTTTGTTTTTAATTTTCCATTTCAACATTTAGGAACTTGTCCTTCTAGAAATATCATATTGAGTTTTCTTTTTATTAACGCTTTTTAGAAAACATTTTTTCCCACTGAATATTATTTAAAGTCTATTAAATCTGACTTGCTAATTAAAAAAAAATAAGGAAACACTTGTTTAAATCTTCAGCTCATGTGTAGTATTGGGAGTATATGCATCCCTTACCTTGATTTTATTAGGAGTCATTTTAGACATTAAAAAGATTAATACATACTGAACAACTATGAACTCATCACTTAGCGTCAGTCATAAAACCTCACTAATACCATTCTCTGACCCTATCTGCCTCCCTCATCCCCCTATAGGTAAATACAATTGTGAATTTGCTGTTTATCTTTTCTTGGGTTTTTCATAGTTACTATTTTTTTTTTTCTTTTTGAAATTAATTACACAAGTAGTTCATGGAATCTACTAGTATATTTCAGTAACCTATCCAACAGGGTGTAAACCACTGTTAACGGTTTGGTGATTAAAATGCATTTATGTGCATAGGTGCTAATAGAGAAACATAGCTCTGTTTTTTACCTAAAAGGTTTGTATGCATTGTGACATGTCTAGAGGTCACACTTTCTTACACAAACAAATATAGAGCTGCACAAGAAGATACATACAAAGATTTATAGTTTTATTGGTTACAGTGAACAATTTGGAAATCTCAGAAATCATAGAACTATGAAGTGCACCAAGGGCATTTGTAGTTTATTGACTGAGAGGACAATTTAAAAATAATCTAAATGTCTCATTACTAAGAGGACAAGTTAAATAAAATATTGTATATTCATACTCTGAAGCAGTTGAAGGGAATGAGATATTCATACGTACGTACATAACCTAACGTGGGTAATGACATTGGATGTTTCTGTTACATCTACAAATAATTGCTGTTTTTCACACAAAACACTGAAAGGATTTCTAGTTGACCAGACCGTCCTAGTTCTGTTCAGACTAATGTTGCTTTTTCTGACTTTGTGATTCAAGTTGGTAGTTGAAGATTTTCCATTTTCTTGTTGGAATGTTTTATATTTCATGACAATACATGGACCATACTGTCGTCCTACGGCAATTAAAATTGGTGGTGATTGCCACAGTGTTAATTGCAGCCTTAATCTCTTATCTAGAGTTAAGCCTTACGGTAGCAGTTAAAAACCTAAAGCGTTCGTTTCAAAAGGATTTTGAGAAGATCACATACTCTAGCAAAGTCAGTCAGCCCCCTGCCCATTTCCTTTTCTAGCGTACTAGGCACAGGAAGCGTGAACGGCTGCTTAGCTCTCAAGTTTGTTGGGGAGGTCGACAGTTGACAAGTTACTTGTATTGGATGGGACAAATGGGAGGCCAAGTTGCATGAATGTTAACAGCGGAGACTTTGGAGTCAGCCACCTAAGCCAGCATGTTTTAAAGAGTGAGGCAAGAGCCTTGGGAGCCTGCGGGTTGGAGCTCGAGTTGAAATGGGGCTGCCTGTTCTCAGTTCCCAGGGATGGTAAGTAACCGCCATGGCCGAGGTGCTGCGACAGTATAGTGGAAATACCTAATAGGCACCGAGTTTGGGATTGAAGAGCACAAAGGATTGCTTCGTAGAGAAGGTAATGCCTGATGCATAAGCAGAGATGGGAGGTGAGCGGTACTGGGGCTTACTGTGCCCCACACGTGGGTTAGTATGGCTTCAGCAGGGTAAGGGGAGGAGTGGTTAAGTGATAAGTCCTGAGAAATAGGCAGAGGCCGGGTTTCATCGGGCATCTGAGATTGGATGTTGTTGCTGACCAGGTGTCGGGTGTCCAGGAGGAGATGGGCGGCATTAGCTCCCTAATCTTTCAGGCAGTCAGCCGTTTTGGCAGTGCAAGTGAAGCTTCCAGGTCATCCCTTACGGCCCTATCAAGCAGGCTGCTCCTTCTAAATCCCTGACAAGGAATTTCTGGAGCTGCCTCTGTCCCTTTCTGTGCGTGAGCAGCGGTGGAAGTGAAACTTAGTAAATCCCAACTAGAGCCGTGAATTGTGTGGTGCTGGCTCACCAGTGGGGGCTGAGCTGGAAGGAACTTTGTTAGGGGAATCTGAGCGTGGGTGTGAAATTCTGAAATTTGTAATGTTTGGATAAAAAGCTTTGGCATTTAGCTGTCATTTGATGATGCTCTCATGACCCCTCTGGTAATGTCACAGAGGATGGCACAGGCTAGAGATGATCTAGGGTTGAGGCTCAACCCGTGGGTGCCAGAGCCTGCACTTTTAACTGTGCTCTCTAGCCTTCTCTTTTCTCTTGCCTGATGACCACCTTCTGAGTGGTCACAGGTAGAGAATAAGTGACTTCAGATGCCTTTAGTCAGCTTTTACTGTGTCAGTAAGTATAGTGAGGCCTTGACAGTAGCAATTCACCATTACAGGGATGCATGACTAGTTTTGGACATGATGTAACAGGGATAAGATTTATTTTCCGAATCTCTGAGGTTTTGTTACCCGCCCCCCATGGTAAAATACAGTTTGCACTTTATATCCAGACTTGGGGTGCAGTCCCCGCTTTCCCCCTACCCTCACACTTCTGGTTTTGTCATTGACCAGGTTACTTAAAACATCTCAGTTTTTTCACCTTTCATGTGGGGATAATAATGCCTAATAGATTTGTTCTGGGGAATAAGCACAGTGATACACATGTGATAGCGTAATGCCTGGTCCCTATTAGATGGTCGAAAATCCTTCCTCAGCCTTTTGTCGTTCTATTTTGTGGCTGCTTCTGTCACCTGCCTTAGGTTACTTCCCTGAGGAGTGTTTGGAATATGAGGAAGGGCCAGGGGTGTGTGGTAGGAAGTAGAGGTCTGTATTGGATTAGGCCTTCACCTTAGAGTCAGAATGGTTCTTTTTGTTTATTTCGTCCAGATAGGTCTACCAGATCTGGGACTCAATACAGGAGATTCCCAGGCAAGATCTCTGGTTTGAGGTTAATGTGTGTATTTATATAGCTGCCCAGACAAATCTGATTTGCACCTGTTGTTGAGAACACTGGATAATTGCAACCAGATTACATTCTTACTTTTTTGGGTAACCTTGCCTTGGTTTTGGTTTCCTCTGTGTTGGTTGGTGTTTTAGGTTTGTGTTTTGTTCTGTTTTTGTTTTTGTCTTGAGGGAGGGAGGCATGATATAAAACAAATAAGATGTAGTGGATTCAGACAGATCAGCTTGGCTTAAAATCCTACCTGTTATTTGGGAGAGTTACTTGTACCTCCAAGCTTCAGGCCTTTTTTTTTTATTTTTTTTTTTTTTTTATCTGAATGGAGGAGAGACTAGTATCTCCCTTCTGAGTTTTTGTGAAAGAGCTAATCTATATAAATTAGCTGGTATATGGCATCGTGTGAGCACTCAGGGTGGTAGCCAGTAGGAATATTGAGATTGATAGTAATATTGCAATATAGGGATATCAAAGTTAATTTGGAAATTTTGATCTTTTATTATCAAAACTACTATCCACTGTCATTTTACTGCTAAGATTTTTAAAGACAGATTTATGTGGCAGTTTTTAAATCTTTTAAAATCTTTTCTTTTAAAAATAAAAAATAAGTCACTCAGCATCTGAAGAAGCTTCGGGTTCAGACTCAGGCAGCCAGTCGGAGAGTGAGCAAGGCAGCGATCCGGGAAGTGGACATGGCAGCGAGTCAAATAGCAGTTCTGAGTCTTCAGAGAGTCCGTCGGAATCTGAGAGTGAATCGGCAGGTTCCAAATCCCAGCCAGTCCTTCCAGAAGCCAAAGAGAAGCCAGCCTCTAAGAAGGAGCGGATAGCCGACGTGAAGAAGGTATCTCCTATGCTGTCCAGTACAAGCAGGCCGCTGGCCGGGGTCAGGTGGCAGATCTCTATTCCCTAGGAAGACTCATTAATGTGTCTTGATAAGGAAAACTACAGTTACCTTTCCAAATATACTCTCTCTGGATATGAATGGAGACTGCTTTTCCTCTTGCTAATTGATATAGTAGATATAGGCTATAAAGAAAATAATTATATGCACCATCAAATTTTAGGGCAAAAGGACAAATTTCTATAGGTTTGGTTTTTAACGTTTTTAAAAAGGTGGTTAATATTTTTTTCATGTAACACTGTATAAAACCAGAGAGAATCATTGACAGATGATTCTGTCAGATTGACAGTGAAACGCAGTTGTAAAGCTTAGTGTTGGATAATCACAGTTTAAGAATAAGGGTAGTTTTTGTGATCAGAAGAACAGAAGAGATACTTCTCACAGAGAAAAAGTTAATCCGTGCCTAGGCATGTAGATATTCTTTGCCTAACGTCTTCCAGCCAAGTATGCAAAACATCAAAAATGAAGTTGTGTGGCATTTTTCTCATTGATGCCCAAACTTTGGGATGCATTCCTTTTGGAAAGAATTACTGACTTTTAATCATAAGAATACAGCTGATCATTTAAAACCCCATTTTGAGAGAATTATGTTTTGATCACTGAAAATGCAAAATAATATTGCTTTTAGAAATTTAATAATGTCTAAAGAAATTAAAAACTTTATGCTAAATCAGTTTTTATTCTAAGATGCAAACCTACATCTGCAAACTCAGGTTTTCATAGTAGTACAGTTTTAAATTACCTGCAAGTTCTGTAGAATAGTTTCAAGAAACATGAAATTAAAAAACAATGCAAAACTGGTTTTGACTCTTGAGGCAAAATTGGGATGAACTATGCTAAATTAGGTTCTTCTGTTCCCAGCATAACCGTTTCTTGTTAAGTGCCCCTTAGGAACTGGTGGGAAGTTGGGCACTGTGATGGTAGAGCTGGGGCTGGGAAAGTGCGAGTTGTCCTTGCCAAGCAGTGCATCACCAATGAAGTGACCTTCAGACATTCGAGTGCTGTGACTCGTTGCCCGCTCACTGTGTTGGGTGGACCTTTCACAAGAGGCAGTTCAAGTGGTGACTTATTTCATTCATTCAGAAAGACCCTGCATGTGAGGAAAACAAAACAAAATCAAAGACCGTGCATGCAGAAGTTCTTGCTTACAGGTCTTGCTCTGAGTGTCTTTAAACTGAGAGATGGACCACCCAGACTTGTGGCAGAGGCCTTGGCTTGGCGATTTTCACAGCCTGATGTCTAGGCCTGGTTTCCTGTGCTCTCTAGATCAGGCGCTTATTCCAGAAGACCACCACACATGTTCGAATGAAGTATAATGGACAAATCAGTCTGGCTTTTAGCTTTTCTTCTGTACGGTGGAGAGTTTCTTGTAGAGATGAAAGGAAACTATAGGATTCACAACTGTTAACTTTAAGACTTGTACATATGTAATTTCATTTAAAAAGGTAAGAAAGGAGGGGAGTCGTTATAATTTCAAGATAGAAGTACAGCGTCAGGCAGAAATATTAAAATATACTTTTAAAGTTAAGGTGATCAGTTCTAAAAAGTTAAAAAAAATTAACACTTGGATGGACAGAACAGCCAGTTAGAAAGATTGGATTGTGACTTGAATGATTGTTATTCTAAAAAAGGAGACTTCTCAGGAAGGCTTCGTTTTCTGTCCTTCGGTAGCTTTTTCATTGAAGAGTTGAATTACATATCAAAAGGACAAATAGGAATGCAAGATGATTTCAGGCTGTCCGAATTACAGTATGTACTGTAATGAAGTTCCAACAGTTGAGCGTGAATGCCTAATATTTAAATGATAAAACTAATTGACATAGTGTCACTTAAATATTTTAGCCACCCCTGTTAATAAAAGCTCTGTACATACCTTTGCTGAAAAAGTTCCATAGCTTTAGCAGAAGTTCAAAAAGGGCGGAGGTGGAGATGGCAGACAGGTTAGAGTAAAGCTCTTTGTCTTCTGTCTCTGCCAGGGTTCAGTGTTCTGCATTTGCTTCCTCTTTGCCCTAGATTCTTACCACTTGGTTATTCCTAACTCCTTTCATTTGGACCTTTTGTCTTCCGATTCTGAGATTATTCTAAGGTCATTATGGATTTTTCACCTTCATAAACTGAAGACACTGGATTACACGATTACAGTGGGTTCTAGTTCTAAAATGCCTATTTCGTGGAACATCTCGCTAGTTTTCTTTGGAGACCTTGTTTTTCTGTAGCTTCCTTTTTTTTTTAAAGGCACTGTTGAGTGTCCTCCCTTGGCTTAGAGACATTGTTTTTTTCTGGGTCGTCTTTCATCAACTTTGTCTTTTCAGGGTCCACTTGCCACACATCATGTATCTCAGCGGCTTCCCCTCTTTCCAAATATTTTCATGACATTAGCTGTCACCTGCATTTTGATGACAAACCCACATTTCTAATCTTAGCTGTCAAGCATCTCTTCTACATATTTAATTCCTGTTAAACATTTTCACTTCCGTGTTCCACAATTTGTTCAAATTAATTTTGCCTATACGTAATTGATTTTATTAAAAGAACACAACACATGATGTACTCAGCAGCAGTTATCCTGGGGAAGGAGAGTGAGATTAGGGGTTAGACTCTAATCATTAGAGATTGTGGAAGGAGGGACCTTGTACATCTTTTCTGCAGATTTGTTGATTTGAATCTTTACTAAGATAATGTTACTGCATTGTGAGAAAAATTTTCTCTCCAACTAATTCCTCCTTTAAATTTTATTTTTTGATCACTAGTGAGGATGGTTCCTAAAAATAAAAAAGCAAAATTTATTACTGCTAGAAAATAAAATCACATGTGCTAGAGAAATAGCAGTGGTTCTTATTCTCAGAACTTCTAGCCAAATGTTAGACATACCTAATTTGCATGTATCTGGCATGTTACATGTGCTGAGAAATTTAAAGAAATATACACATAGCCTGATTCTTATTTAATTAGATGTGGTGGGGCCCTGCTTATTTCTTATTTCTTGGATGGGTCAATATACACGAAGTATTAGATACTTAAAATTCATCAGTAAATACTTTATCTTTAATGGAAACAGTTCTTTTTGCCTTACCATATTATTCAACTGTAAGTTTATATTTTAATCATGGGTAAGCAGTATACTGTATAGTCTAATAGCCATTAGTAATGTAGAGGCATTGTTAAACTTTAATATGTTTTAGGGTAATATGCCTTGTTCTTTTTAAAGATAATACCTTATTATAGTCTCATACACAAAACTAACAAAACAATCCTTTTGATATTTAGTTATGTGAATTCTCTTAACATACATGTTCCAGAAATGAAAATAGTAGATGGAGGTCAAGAAAAAAGATTGATGCGTGGTCTGTTAATTTTACAGATGTGGGAAGAATACCCTGATGTTTATGGGGTTAGGCGGTCAAACCGAAGCAGACAAGAACCGTCACGATTTAATATTAAGGAGGAGGTAAGAAAAAAAGACTGTTAAAGGGGACACATTTACTCCTTATCTTACCTCATCCTTTCTGACTCCGGTGTGTGTTGCCATTAAGAAGACTGAGCTTCAGGCCACGGGAGTTGAGTGACTACTGTGAGCTTATGGCAAATGTTTCAGTAGAGTGTCAGAGTATAACAGAACTGGCCTCATTTTTTTTCTTTTAAACGTTTCTCATAGTGAAATTGATTGTATCAAGAAGTTTTTAAATACCTAATTTCTCAATCTTCTGGATTTTGTTAAATGTGTAATTTGTTTGGTAAACAAATACAACAATGTATAAGTAGTTTCAGATTTATTTCTGAGAAAGGAAAGAGAATTTGTTTGACATAGTAAATTAGATAAAATTTTATTTTATCGAATTTCTTTAAATTTGGTTTCCTGGCTTATTTTTAGTGTACAGTATAAAATGTTTCATGCATACTCTGATCTAATTGAGATTGAATACAGTGGTGATTTTAAAATTAGTATCATTTCCTTGGTTCTGTTGTTTTTGTAGAATCAGACTTTTCTCACCTCTTTGTTTATGTGATACTTTTGTGCATTCTTATCGCTCTATTAGATTTGTAGACTGCATTCTGGAGAGATGCTCTTTTGTCTCTCAGTGAAATGTCCCCTGTCTGCATTTTAGGAGGACTTTCCTATTCTTAACAATACATCATCCTTCTGATAAAAGCTGAATATTAATGGCCATAGGTTAGCGAGTTGAGAGTGGGTTTCAGTAAATGTACTTAAAAAGGCCAATTGACCGTAACATGCACATTGCACATATGGCGTTTTGTTTTGAGTGACCTCTGAGCTGGTTTGCCCTGGCTGGCCTTTTCCATAGTGTCTAGGACCAGGTTACTGAGCAGCGTGTTAGAACCAGCCACATAGTCGTGCACATCTTTTTCTTTTCTCTTTTGTACAAAAACTAACACATTGTGGGGCAGAAGACTAAGAGCGATCGGACTGGTTTGCCATTTTGCTTAATTTTGGGGAGAAAGAGCTGTTCTGGTGCCTTTTTTGGCCTAGCAGTGTTGGCAGAGCACCTTCGGCTCTTGATTGAACACGCTCTTTAACGAGTCTAAAATGAAATAGATCCGTAGCCACTGCCTCTGATGGCACACTAACCGCTGTGGCATTTCCATAGGATATTCTGCATCTGCAGGATCCAGTATGGTGATCACTAGATAAGTGGCTTTTAAAATAAAAATTGAGTGAATGAAAAGTCCCGTTCCTTAGTCACACTAGCCACACTTCAAGGGCCGCTGGCTGCGATATTAGACATTGCAGATACAGACCGTTTCCATCATCCCAGAAAATTTTATGGGACTGTGCTCTTCTAGAAGTCAAGTGGAGGGAAATAGTTCCTGGCGTTAGAGATAAGGCGGTAATGACAGACAGAAGTTAATCTTCAAAGCTGAGGAAGGGTGAGCACCACCGAACATATGCGTAGGTTTCTTCCTGTCTAAAAGCTCATGTGGAATAATGTCATATTGAGTAGATCGTTGAACCAGGGGGTGGTGGTGTCCCTAAGAACTGTGAATTAAAGTCTGCGATCATTTCTCCCCCTTACCCACTGAAGGCAAGTAGCGGGTCTGACAGTGGGAGCCCAAAAAGAAGAGGCCAGAGGCAGCTGAAAAAACAGTAAGTCTTTCACGGGGAAACTGCAGCCTAGTGGCGTGGCGCGTGTCGGTGTCTCTGGGACCGCTGTCACTGTCTGCAGCCTGTCCCGGTCCCAGAGGCTGCTCTGTTTGAGGTTACCTTGGGTCACTGTTCAGCTTGATCTGCAGCATTGGAAGCCCAGGCTGGTCAGTTTTGCACATGTAAGTATTTCACACGTGCTTGGGCGGCTCCTTGGGGGGCAAACCCCAGGTTATTCCATCCAGTTACCCCAAATGAGCTCAGTTATTTTTTTGTGCACAGATACCAAACATATAGGTATTTGGTATTCTATTCTGATGAAGCAAGGAACAGATTTTTCATTTCCGTTTGTCCTTTATGTCAGCATGGCAGAATTATATTGGTTGGACACCTGTCTTAGTGTGAAATTTTACATTGTCATTTCCGTTAATTTAAATATTGCAGTTCATAGACAATTTTAATTCTTGGGCTTAATGTGAACTTTATAACAGATTATATAGTTCTTATTTAAAAATTTTGAAAAGTATTTGATTTTTTTTGTTTGGTTTTTCGGGGAGAGAAATCTTTTTGGAAGGGATGTGGATCCCTCTGACAGTCTGGATTCCATAGCTTGTTTCTTCAGAAAAATGTAAATATTCAAAACTGCACACAAATTCAGGGGATTTCATGATAAACAGTTGTCTGTGGCCCTTAGTACAGCACCAGTTATGTATTCTCTATTACAAAATGTTAGTAATTAATCTTAAATACGTTTTTGGACTAAGGCTAAGTAATTTGAGTTTTTAAAATCCATTTCCTCATGTCCAAAATGGAGTAATGCTAATTCTGCTGACCTAACAGTTATTAGAAAGTATGCTGAGTCAGGTGTTTAATACTGCTTTGCTTAGAGCACATACAATTTTCAATTCGTGTTCTAAATATTTAGTTAGAGTTGGAGAAATAGTAACTGCAGGCAAGCCTGCATTTCTCGGTATCTCAGAGGGTGATGTTTCTGCCCCAATCAGATGGGCTGCTTGGGGGAGAGTGTTCTCAATGGCCGTCTGGGGTCCTTTGGGAAGTCCAGGAATATGCTCTCCCCTCCACTGACTGCCTGCATTCGGCCAGTCTCTCGACTGAGACCAGGTGGGGCTGTGCCTGAAACCCAGGACTTCCCATTCTAACGACCGTACTCTGGTGTGCGGAAGCCCACATGTTTCCAGCCATGTACAGCTTATCAGTCTTCCTCCTCTGACCAGCGTCTTTACTCATTTTCCCTCTGTCAATCCTCAATGCTCTCCAGAGTTGGCAGCTTTCACAGGTCTGCCCAGGGCAGAACCTCCGAGTCCCCGGTGCTAGGGAGTATGTGTTGCCTGTAGTACTGCCTCCCTTCCTGGGGGCTCTTCCTGCCACAGTCAGGGAGGTCCCCTCACCCCTGCAGTCTGGGGCCCTGGGCCAGCCTCACGTCCTGCTATCCTCTGGGCAGCTGGTGAGGGCCTGGCTCCTGGAGAGCTCTCCTGAGTCATTTTAATTAGTAAGATGACTTGGAGGAATACAGCTGCCAAGACGCAGGTGGCAGGGCCCAGTGCCAACGGTGCCCTCTGCGATCTGCACGGGTGTAACAGAATCGGTGTGTGGCACGCGGGCTTCAGGGTTGAGTCTCACTCAGAGGGCGGGGAATTCTGAAACACGCTTTCCTGAAACCCTGCAGGTTGTGTACCACAGATTCTGAAATTTTTTAAAAGCAGCTTTTGGGGAATTAGTTTCGAGCTTGAGAGAAGTCGTGAGAATAGAAGTAGCACAAAGCGAGCCTGGTGCTTTACCCGGCCCTCCCCCGCTCACCATCGGGGCCCCTTCGCTTTGCTGTCACGGGTGTTCTCTTTACGCGTGCGCACACAGTATTTCTCTTGAACCATTGACGACAACGTGCGTACGTTCCTACATCGTGGCCTTTTACCCTTAAACACGTCAGTGCGCATTTCCTACGAATCGCAGTCTCTTCATAAGCACAGTCCAGGTTTAACAAACATTTGGCGTTGGCGGAATACTTCTTACTCACATTCCCGTTGTTGCCACTTGACCCACTAATGTCTGTCACCGCATTTTTCCGCCTCCACCGCAAGCTTCCGTTCGGGTTCAGGTATTGTATTAGTCGTCAGGTTTCTTTAATCTCTAGAGCTTTTTCACAGGCTTTCTTTGCGTGTTCGACACTGACGTTTTTGAAGAATACAGTCTTAGAAGGAGCTCACTCCCCTGAATCATGTTAATTAGCATTTTAAAACCTTAGAACTTACACAGCATGATGTTCCCGTACCACGGAGGAGTAATCTTGTAACTGATCGCTCTTTCCACCTCACCCCTCCTACACAGTGACTTAATATTGCTGATCCTAACTTACTTTTTTTTATCCTGTTGTTGAAAATTGTAAAACAAAATTTAAAATAATCCAGACAATTTCAAATGCACATACATACAAAATCAGACCTGTTAAGCCTCTGGTTGTTCATCTATTCTCAGAATGTATAAGCCTGGCTGTAATTTTTCCTGATTCTTGGGTTTTCAGGTGGCTAGGGGTGAGCATAGCAGAGGAGGGGGTGTGATGCGTTGCCTAACTTGTTCCCACGGGGCTTTAGTTTTCTCCTCTAGGAAGAGGCTTTCGGACCAGTAGATCCGCTCAGTGTTTGTACATTTTGGAAGAGTCTTAAGTCCTCCTGGTTGTCCATGAGTCTATAAGTCTGCAATTGAAGTGGAAAATTCTAGAACTGCCCTGATTGAGAATCTCAATTCCTGGCAGAGTTATGTAAATTACAACTAATACCTGACTGAGGCTCTTTGTCTTCTGATCATCTGTCCCTTAAGTCTTCATCGTTCACGTTCTTCCAAGCTTGTTTCCTGTGAAACCACTTCTCTCCATTGTGACAGTGTGAACACCTCCTCAAGGGTCAGCTGTTCTGGACTTGGTCCAAGAGAGACTGAAGTCTCCCTGTTGCTGGAGATATCTCTTTCCCACTCGTCACTTTCTGTTCCTTGGATTTGTCAGCAAACATTTATTGTACTAGGCTCGCAGAAGGAGCATAAGACACATGCCCAGAGTGTAGTTAGATAGAAGGTCTCTGTTTTAGAGAGACTGAAGGATGCTGGACAGTGCTAAGAGACCTTAGTGTCTCACCCGTTTGCTTCCAAAAGCACCCTGCCTGTCTGACTGATGACTGATATGGCTCATTTTTTAATTATTGTTTTATTTAACAAAGGAGTATCTCTCTTTACCTACCTTTGAGCTAAGTAAGCTCTGGTACAAAGATGAGAAAATGGCCCTGCCCACGAGTCAGCTCCTGTTAGGGAAATTGATCTGGAACAAACAGCACTAGTAGAACCTAAGTAATGTACATAAAAGTGATCCTCTGCCTTTTCATGGAAGGCATGAATTTTTTTCCCCTAAAATCTACACTAATTCAGGTGTAGGGTGGTTTCTTCACCTTTAAGGAAGGTTCTCAGCAATCAGCAGATCAGCCACCTTCTTGCAACAAGCTTCTGCTATTCCTTTGACCTATTCTTCCTTGAAGAATATTGATTGGACTTTGCAATATTGCAACAGTTGTCTTTAGCATAACCTCATTTCCTGTACACAGGCCAAGAGGCACAGTAGTAATTCTTTTGTTTACTAAGAAACCCTAGGTACTTGCCTGTAAATTCCCTGCCGCCAAACATCTCATGCTTGGTAGCTGTTCTGTGTCCCTTCTTTCTTCTCTGCAGGTGAGAAATGAGCCGAGTCCTGTGATATGTTGTTTGGGTTTCAAATAAACTTGAGAAAACTGGGATAGTAGAACTCCCATAGCATATGGCTCTTTCAAGCCTTCTGAGATCTCAAGGAGCAAAGGAACCACCTAACAGTTACTAAAAACTACACCTTTAGCTGAGCAGATAATTTAGTAGGTAGTACATTTATTATTGAAAAATAACTTCAGGGACTGTTTCCTCAAATGTATTCTAAAGATGCTAAAATATCTATTATAGTAGTTCTCAAAGAAGTCTCCAACCAGTATCACCATCATCTGTGAATTTGTTAAAATTTTTAGGCCTCACATTAGACTTACTAAATGAGAAACTATGGCCGTGGCTCAAAAATCTGTTTTAAGCCCTTTAAGTGGTTCCGATACATGCTAATATTTGAGAACCACTGATAGAGTATATATTATGGCTTTAATCTGGTCAATGATAGTAGTTAAATCAAAATAGAATATGAGAGATTTAACAGCATTTTTTTCTAGAACAAATAGTTTAAAAAATAACATTCTTAGTTTCCATTTTCAGTTATTTTTGTTACTAGAGATGAATTAAGAAAAGATATTAATATAGTCCAGGAAAAAATGCAACCAAAATTTAGATGGAGCTAGAATAAATCTCTTGTAGCAGAATATTTAAAATGTACCTGTTCTGCCTTTTGGATAATTAGTTCAAAATTCATGGTAAACAACCTGGAAGAATTCTTGTAGGAAAAATCCATTTTGTTTTGCTTTTGATTACAGAGAAAAATGGAAACGGGAGCCCTCGGAAGATGAGCAGGAACAAGGAACCAGTGCAGAGAGTGAACCAGAGCAGAAGAAAGTGAAAGCCAGAAGACCTGTCCCCAGAAGGTGCAGTGTTTGCTCAGACATCTCTGCTGCCGGTCGAGCTTAATTTGTGTTAGATCAAAATGATGTCATGCTCGAATGAGAGCCTTAATTGACGGGATACAGTGTGTTGTGATCTGGGTTTTGAGCATCTGTGGTTCACTTCTTGCCAGCCTACATCTTTAGCTGATGATTGGATGACGGGGCTGCTGATACTGATTGTGGGTGTTTGCATGGTATGTAGCTCAGCGTGACTCTTACTGTCTCTTGCTCCACAGTGGATTAGTTAGGAGGGAAGAATATATCTTTTAAAAAAAAAGCTCCCTGTGTATTTGACTTCAGTACAGGTTCTTTTGGGGGAACTAATTCTTAAGTTGGTTGAAAGCATCACTATGTTCAGATAATCTGTATGACATGAAGCAGAGAATCCATGCAGGGAAGGAAGGAGTCCGAGGAGGCAGGAAACTGGTAATTTTTGATCAGAGGGATGGTAACATAAGGTACGATGATGGGGAAGGAAGGCCTAAAGCAGAGAGGCTCAGGGAAATTTACCTCTTTGCAGTATTGCTTAGGATGTTGCCTTGGGGCCAGATCCCACTCACCACCAGTTTTGCATGGCCTGCTAGCTTTTATAGATGAACCTCTATAGTTTGACGAGAGGGTACACTAAATTTGAATCCCAGGCAAGTGAAATGTTATCCTTTCAAAAAGAACGCCGTTCTTTTCATTAGTAGATATGTATCACAAAAAATACATTCAGTGGTTATTTTATTTTGAATTTTATCAAAATGCATGAAAATTTATTTTTTGTTATATAAGTAACTATGTAGTAGCCTCAATTTTGCCTTTTGTCTGGGAAAGCCAAAAATATTTTCCTTCTGGCCATTTTCAGCAAACATTTGCCTACCCCTAGCTTAGGACATTGTACCTCTCCCCCGCCCACACCCATGGGGAAACCCATCTCCTGAGTTTCGTCTCCTTTCGTCTGATTTTAAGGTCTCAGGGCTGGAATGCCACTCCAGTTCTGTATTCTAGATTTTACCCATAATTTATTGAATCCTCGATCATCTATCTTTGTAGCATCGGTTATGGTAGGTACAAGAGAAACATATGGTTGTGAGTGAGTGTCCACCTCCCATTTTCCCCTTTTACCTTTCTGACCACTGGTAGAGTGTCTGGGGTTTCCCTGTGAGAGCCCCTGGACTGTGGCTCTCAGGCCTGGCTGTGTGTGGGAGTCCCCAGAGGGGCCGTGTCCTCAGTCCGTTCCGTTGGTTTGTGGCAGGGGACAGTCTCAAGTGTTCTGGGTACATTTTATGCACAGTAAGAAAACGATATGTGTGGTTAATGCTTGTGTTTCTTCCCTTGACACAGATGATGGCATTCCATACACCTTTCCGTACATTTTTCTTTAATTATCTTATAAATCTTTCCATGTCAGTATATGGAAAGCTCCCCTTTTTTTTATGGCTCCATAGTATTGTCTCGAACTAGTTCACAGTTAATGAACATTTAGAGTTTTTCTAATCTTTCATTATTAATCTTTTGTTAGTACAAATAATATTACAGTGAATACCTTGGTATGCCTCAACTGGTATAAGATCAATTCTCTGAAGTATAAAATCGTTACATTTGCAAGTTTGACATATTTCCAGATTTCTCGCCACAGGGATGCCGTCAACAGCATGCCGCATGTGCACTTTTATGTCGGGCGAGCCTGAGGAACAGTTGAGAACCGTTGCCTCAGAACTCACTGACTCTCCTAGTAATGACTGAGGATTATCGGCATTAGAATCACTTTCATGCTGAAAACAGAATTCTAGTGAATTAGAATCTCAGGGAACAGGATCTAGGAATATGCCTTCTGCCATCTTCCTGGTTAAACTAAGTGTGCACGTACTTCTTCTCTGGGAAATACAGTTAACGTAGATTAGAAGTTGACACCAAATGACAGAGGAGAAACTGCCATTTTTTGTGTCTTCTCATTTTAGAACAGTGCCCAAACCTCGTGTTAAAAAGCAGCCTAAAACTCAGCGTGGGAAGAAAAAAAAGCAAGAGTCTTCCGATGATGACGATGAAGATGACGAAGCCCCTAAGAGGCAGACTCGTCGCAGAGCGGCTAAAAACGTTAGGTGGGTGGAGCCCCAGAAGTTTTTCGTTAGCGTGAGGGTGATTTTGTGGTTAGTTAGGACTCTTCTCAGTCCAGGATTATGCATCTGATAGGCAAAAATGATAACCTATGTCCTGAGGTGGTATCTGGAAATCTGGTCCGCGTTCTTGCAGAAAAGAATGGCATTGGCCAAGGGGAGTATGGAAA